AGAGAGAGAGAGAGGCCTGAATTTTTGTTTGGGTGGATATTTTTTTTTTTTTAAGGGGTGACACTAGGTGGGCGCCCAGACCCGCCTTAGGCATGTCTGCCCGGGCCCCACTGATAAGGATCTACTACAAGGTTCACTAATAAGGCAGGAGATTGCTGGCCAAGTCATAGACCACTTGACCTATTTCATTCACATTTTCTATGACAAGCCCTACAATATTTCATCCTGAGATTGTCGTTTCATCTAGTCAATCAGAGTTGTGACTAAACTGTTTAAAAACTTGTTATTACGTCAGTTAAAATCAGTTAGACAAGAAATATTGCTTTTCTCTTCTTTTTTAGCTTGATATTGTAAAATATATTTATCTTTATCATTTTAAAAATGTGTTGCTTATGATGTTATAATACCTATTTTCTGGTTTATTGATATGCTTATAATACTGATATTTATGCAATGGAAACTGATTCCGCTTTATTTTTATGAAATTTCATTGAACACGAAATTAACATGAGTTTAACACAGTGGCCGTGCAGGTCGTGAAGTACCTGGGAAGTGCTTCCGGCTGTATACAGAGGATGAGTTTGGGAAGCTTGCTGAATCCACTATCCCAGAGATTAAGCGATGCAACCTTTCAAACGTGGTATTACAGCTCAAGGCTCTGGGGATTGATGACGTTATTGGGTTTGATTTCATGGATAAACCTTCGAGGTGAGCAACCATTCATGCTCAGCTCTTGCTTCTCTATTTTGCACTGTGGCCTTATCACTTGGAATAATTTTGGGATGTTACTTATTTATAACTGAACTTTGGGTAAGCATTTAAGCGGGGTGGTTTGCTTTCAGTGTACCTTTCTGGCCATTTCCAGAAATTTATTAGTAAAGCAAAAAAAAAAAAAAAAAATTGGACTTTGTCTTTGTGATCATCAAATAATCGAATACTGGGTTCTGTACATGCAAAGTTGTTGGACCAAGTGTTGTAGAAATCCTTCTGAAGAGTTAAATAGCCCCAGTCCTAGCGATTTTCCCTATCCACGGTTTTTTGTAATTATTCTTACATCTTTTCTCCAACCAATTTCTTTTCCTTTAAAAGTTTGAGCATGTATGCATATCTGCTTTCTGAAGTTCCACAACGTTCTGTATCATGATTGGGACACTAATGAAAGTGAAAATGACATTCTTGGACATGCATTGGCCACAGTTTCCTTTTTTTTTGTTTTGTGGAAATTCGAGCATTTATGTCTATCATCTTTCTGAAGTGCAAAAACCTTGTCTGTATCATGAAAGTGGAATACTGACCAAAGTGAATATGACGATCATAAAAATGCAGTAGAACATATGTCCTTGTTGTATTGAATCCTTAGCAAATGATGTCCTTTAACTTCAAATTCTGGAAATAACCAACACTCTCACCAGTGATTCTTTCGTAATCAATAGAAATGATTTCGTGTTGATGGCTGTTTAGATGATGCTGATGATGTTGTGTAAAAAATTTAAAAGTGGGGATAAGTAGATAGTCGTCTTTTCTTAAAGTTTATGTTGATTCATGTCATGTTTTTGGAAAGCCATGGGCATTTTCCAAATTATTACTGAAATTACATAAATTGTTGATGACATTATGAGTTAAATTATTTTGTGCCTCAGAGACTCAACCTAATATAGCTAAAAGAGAGAAACAAAAAGAAGTCTGTAGTTCAAAATGATCACTCTTAACGGTTTGTTAACAGCCACTAATGGTTTGTTTAATAGGATGGCTGTGGTGAAGTCTTTGGAGCACTTATACGTATTAGGGGCTTTGACTGTTGAAGGCAAACTCTCAGACCCTGTTGGTTTCCAAATGGCGCGCTTACCTTTGGATCCAATTTATGCCAAAGGACTTATCGTGGCAAGCAAGCTCAACTGCTTGGAAGAAATGTTAATAATAGTTTCTATGCTTTCGGTGGAATCTATTTTTTATTCTCCTCGTGAGAAGATGGAGGAGGTATTTATTGAGCAATCTCTCTCTCTCTCTAGCCTGCCCCCCTTCTTTTTCCTGCTTTCTTTTTTCCCTCCCACGACATGGAATCACATTTGCCCCCCCCCCTCCCTTTGTTTTTTTTTTTTCTATTTCTGTTCCCTCAACATGAAATCATGCATATTAAAACTTTTTCACTGCGTTTTTTTTTTTTGGGGAAAGTAACTTTTTCACTGCTTTCCCTGCAGGCATCCATCATTTTCTTTGTTTGTTTGTTTTCAATCAATTTTTTTATCTTAAAAATAAACACACTCCTGGATAACAAGTTCAACACTATACACTTTATACTCAGGTTTAGAATTTGGCACTCTAACTAATTATGTGGTTTTAAAATCGGTAATCTTTTACTTGCCTAGTTTGATAGAGAAAAGGTTTCGTTAAACATGACTTATAAGAAAGCCATGGAGAGCGAGCCCACCAGTGTGCCAGTTTAGTAGAAGTATCCAAACGTACAGTCAGTTATCTACTGCTAATATTATGGCTAGGATTTGTAGTCTACTTTCGCATGAGGAATGAGCCTGAGGCTTGGGTTGTCAGGGTAGCAGAGCTGCAATATGACGTCCCAAATTCAATTCCTACCTATTATATATACCTGTGAACATGTCAAAAAATAGTTACTATACTATGATGTTGAGCTCATTTTGTTTTTTGATGCTCAGGCAAGAGCAGCTAGGAAATGCTTTGCTAGCCAAGAAGGAGATCATATCACATTGTTGAATGTATATCGAGCTTCTGTAGAGAGTTTGGAGAAAAGCAGAATGGGGAATCAGGAAACCATTAGGGATAAAACGGTCGAAAAAAAACTAAACAAATGGTGTAGGGAGAACTTCATTAATAGCCGTTCTTTGAGGCATGCTCGAGAGATTCACAGGTTGCCAACACTACCAACATTATTTCCTGTCCATGTATTTGCTCTCTATGCACAAAACTCTCATTCTAATATGCTCTTGCTGGTTGTCTGGTTCTACCGCATTAACATTTGATATTTTTTGTCTTTTATTTTTTGTTGTAGGCAAATTTTGGGACATGTCCAAAATATGGGTCTGAATGTGACTTCATGTGGGCAAGACATGGACCAGTTTCGTAGGTGCCTTGCCGCGTCTTTCTTCCTCAATGCTGCAGTGAAGCAGCCTGATGGATTGTACAGGTTTGGAACAACATCTTACCTAAGATTATCTAATATTTTGGAAGATAAAAAACAAAATCTCTTTATTGTTGTTTTCTTAGAAGCATTATTTGAAAATTTAGGATTCATACTCGAGAATGAGTTTGATCAACTCAATGATTGAGATCCAACATGGAGTGGGTCAGCCGCAAAAATTCTGTATGTTTGTGCACATATGCTCATGGGCACTTGTGTATATAATTTTGAATGGATGAAAGCATAAAATGGAAAAGATAATCAGTTAATCATCATGTAAAAAATCAAACTCATACTATAAAGCTATGCTATAGTCGAATCATGGTATCTTCCAGTTGTAAATTTGTCTGTATTGTTCAAGTTAATTTATTTGCTGTTTAGAATGGAAGTCCTTCTCTTACATTTCAAAAAAGTTAAAAAGGACAAAAGAAAAAGGAAGTCCTTCTCTTATGCTAACAATTAAAAAAAAAAAAAATGTCCATATTTTATGCTAATCTGGGTATCATTTAGTAACATGTTTGCTGATTACATGGTTTTTTGTATTTCTATTTGGGAAATTATCGTATCAAACTACCCCCCTTCCAAAAAAAAAAAAAAAATTATCATATCAAACTACCCCCCTCCAAAAAAAAAAAAAAAAAAAAGAAAGAAAGGATAACTCAGATTTTCATGTATCACCTTTTTTTTTGCTTTCAGACTGCAATAGCTGATAAGAGAGAAGTTTCACCAGTACCTTCTGCACAAGCTACCGATTTTTCATTTTTTTCTTTTTTGAAAAAGAGCCCCGTCAATGTTCTAAATCCATTGAGTCTTCTCAATGTTATAATCCCATTTCAGCCCAAAATTAGCCCCTATCTAGGCTTTCTCTCTCTCTCTCTCATTCACACACACACACAGTTTCCAACCTTGTTAATCTTATTGCACGCATTCATCAATACAAGACCAAGTTCAAGATATCAGTAGCAACCTCAATTGTGGGCAACTAGAGACAAAGAAGAGGCATTCTCCATTTGTTCAACAAAACCCCTATTTTGCAACAATTGAATGTCATATAGCTAAATTACAAGAATCTTATTGATTGTATGATTGAAGTAGGAAAATTTACAGTTAATAAGAAGTTTTTACTGGTATTGGGGAATTGAGGCTTAATTATCAAAGTTTTCTGGATTTTGAGTATATGTTATAGTACTTAGTGAAAATCGTTCTGAATTTTGTTCATTAAGTTGCTGCATTAGCTTTACTGGAAAGAATATCAACTGGTTTTTATTGAGTTTATTACTGAAAATTCACAATGACAAATTCACTTTAAAGAATATCGGTGAATTTACATTGTAGTTACTGGAATTATTTTTTTGATACTCACTGTAGTTTTACTGTGAAATTTTCAGAGTAAATTTATCAGTGGATTTAAGGAGAATTTGTCATGTAAATTTACGGCGACAACGTCACTACAAATTTGGTCTTTGAATTGATAGCGGATCGTGAATACCAAGTGTTTGAAAATTGGTTCAATAAAGAGATAAATGTAATTGGAACCTGATAGTTTTTCATATTCTTATCCGGAGCGATGTTCAATTAGGAAGGATCAATAAAGGATTGGAGAATGTTAAGAATGGAGATTTTGTTGCATTCACTGGATTTTTAGAAAAAATGGATTTGGTCACTAACAATACCTTGATTCGGTCACCCTTGAATATTGACCTAGTAATATTCTTTCTGGCAAATATCTTTCAGGCAAAATTATAGTTGCAATTCAAATTGTATAAATTTCCAAAGATTTGCACTAAATATTATGAAATTATACTCATGAGTCGGAAAACTTTCATTAAATCAAGTCATTTTCTCAAAACCAATAATGTTTTCTCATTAACCGTAAATATTCCAACTTGAAACTCATATAATGGATTAGATTCTTGTTTTAATTTAGCCATGAACACGTTTGATCCTTGCTCTAGGGCTTTTGTTGATCAAATGGAGAATTCCTTGTCTTCTCCTGTAGTTGTATTCATATTGATGTTGCTTCGACATTAGGTTGGAAGACAAGGGCTCTTTTTGAAAAAATGGTGGGCTGTCGATTTGATAATTTCCCTCTATATTTCCTATATTAACCTTGGGTTTGCATAAATTTCCGCAGGGCTATGGCTTCTGGTCAGACAGTACAGATCCATCCATCCTCGGTGTTATTTGGGACAAAGCCCGATTGTATTATCTTCAATGAACTGGTTCGAACAAATCACAATTATATTCGTAACATAAGTCGAATAGATCCCCTCTGGTTGTCTGAGTTTGCTCCACATTACTATGGGAACAAGGAATGATTGTTGTACATCGGTAGGTTTCCAGTATTATCTGGAATAATTGTTTGAGGAAGTATCATTTGCTAGTGGCTTTGAGGAAGTATCATGTGCTTACTGCTTGAATTGATGTGATTTGCACTGATTTCTCGGTACTTTTGCAGGATATGGAACATCTGCATTTCTGATTATAGCATGGAAAAACTAGCGTTGGAGAGCCCTGAATATTTCCCAGTCACCCAATTATTTTGAAAGCAGATTGGTGGCCTTAAAACTAATCTACACTCTTGATTCATTGGAGACTTCAAAATTCGTAGATTAAAGCCTGGGTTTCTCAAGCTGTGGAAATGGATGACAGATAAGAGGCCAAGGAAATTGCCTTTGTGTTTTACAGATAGGGCCTTCATGCTCATTTGCTGTAAAGTTGACGGTTGGTGTAATCGCGCACAACCCGGCGCTTATCCAGAAATTGCATTGTGCAATATTATTTTCCAACTGTTAGGCTATTTTCCAGCGGACATTTGCGAGGGAAAGAAAATGTAAATTATACTCTGTTTCGCATATATTAATTATAATTTATGATCTTTTTCTGGTTTTTCTGCATGATTTGTTCAGTGGTAGGATTTGAACTTAGGACATGATATTCTAACTGTTTCCACGGTAATCAGTCAAACCCAAACTTGCTTGAATCATGACAATGTGTATGTCCAGTTCAACGAGTTCAATTGCTCATCAATCCTGACATGATATATTATTTATGTTAGTTGTGTTTTAGCTTTAACATAAGATGAGAATCAATCTCTCTCTCTTCCCAACACAATAATCATTGAGAATGTGCCATAACATAAAATGTGTCCTCGTTTGATAGATGGAAACTCCTCACTCTCTCTCTTGATAGTCACAAAGAATGTCACATAAACTACGTAAACATGTGTAACATGATACTCGAAGAATTTAGGGTAAATTTCGTACAGAATCCAAATTTCTCATTTTATTTTGTGGAAGATTTTTTTTTAATTTTCTTTCAAGCTGCATAAAAAAATCGTTAAGGATTTCACTGTGCTCTCTCATTTCTTATTTCGTTTATTTATTCACTTTTGATCATAAAAATTAGTCTCAACAAATTTTTTTTATACCATTTCAATTCAAAAACGTTTTAAAAATATTTTAAAAAATTTTTTAACCCACTTTTTTTTATCTATCATCTCATTATATCTTTTAACTTAAAAACGTTTCAAAAATATTTTTTTATTATATTTTTTACCTTTTCAGCCCCTCAATGCCATGTAGAGGGCTCCCCATCTTTCTCTCTCATATTCGTCTCTCCTCTCCTCTTACATGTCAATCTCTCTCTAAATTTTACAGATGCTTCTTTTCTCTCTCTAAACCTCTTTTTCTAATGGTATAAAAAGGTTCTTTGAAACGTCCTTGAAATGTTTTTTTGGTTGAAATGTTATAAAAAAGTTTGTTAGGGTTAATTTTTATGGTTAAAAGTGAATAAATGAGGAAGATAAGATATATCTTATTTTGTGGATTCTAGACCACGAGAAATATTTATTTTAATCTCTATCTTTCTACCTAGGTGTTATGGTGAAATCTTTAGGGGGTTTTTTATGCCGCTTGAAAGAAAAATGGAAAGAGGGTCTATCATGAAATAAGATGGGGAATTAGGGTTCTCAACAAAATTTTTCCAAAAATTTATTAGATTTTTTTTAAAATAAAAAATAAAAATAAAATAATCTAGGTATGGCCCTCACGAATGTATAATAAATGAGGGTTCATTTATTAACTTGTTCATGTTCATATCATTTCGATCGATATTCATATCATTTCGATCGATTTGATTATAACCGGATCAAATCAATAGTAAAATTCAAGTATTAGATTTGTAAACGCAAAAGAGAATAATACCCGTAAATTTTAGTGAAGGAAACGAGAATCGTGGGAATACATAAAAACTTTGTTAAGGGCCTCTAACTCCTTTCAACTAGGATCCTAGTTGGAAGTACTCTCCTTGACCTTTACTCGTTGAATCGTGAATTAGATCGGATGGGCCGATTAGAAATCAAATTAGAAGCAGCGTAAAGAAATGAAAATACCCTTATCGATACTAGGACTGAAGGATATATTGTAATTGAATTAAAAGTAGAGAATTACAGCAGATTTCAAAACTTTCTCTTCGGTAACATTTGTCTAGGATATATGTATACCCTATGTTGATAAGTAGGGCATGCTATTTGAAAAAAATTGAAAATGAGTTTAAAGGAGGCCCGTAATAATAATAGGGATTGTCTAAAAAGAGATCATTTAAAGATTGTCTACAAAGAGATCATTTATCTTTTATACAAGGATAGTCAGAATTATTCTCACTCATTAAATATCAGGCTGGATGGGTCACAAAGTTCGAGAATATTTTTTGGGAAATTTTGTATTTTATCAATGACACTCTTACGACCACCCATTTTGAAATCTAATAAATAAAAATAATTATGACTTCCTTGTACAAAAAGTAAATGATATGCAAATCTTTGTAGACACTCTCTTATAATGGGCTTCTTTCCATGTTTTATGGTTACTATTCAAAAAATGATTATTTTCATGTTTACTAATTTGAAAAAAACCCTGCTTACCTTGATTCCACTGGGATTCATTTTTCTTTTTCAATATTAAGAAAATTTCAATTACACGTGTCAATATACGAGTTGAAATTCCGCAAATGCCTAATGTTACATAGGGCACGTTTCCATATTTATAATTCCATAAGGTTATATGGTCCTGTCCAGTGGAAGCATATCACCCATTTCCAACCTCCAGTTCTACATCTACTTTTCAAATTTTTAATATACTTTTGGAAATTTCAAAAACAACCATGGGTCCAGGCTTGTTGGCTGGCTGAGCTAGGGACCCAACCTAGCGCTGGGCCAATGATCTCTACCAGTAAAACTCTCTCTAGGAGCAATTTTTGGAACTTCAATTTGGTGATGCAATCTGATTGTACTCAAATCAGTAGGTAAACCCCTCATTCATTCAAAAAAAAAAGAAAAGAAAAAAAAAAAAAAAGGAAAAATAAGAGTCTAATTGAAGTGCCGAAGAACTTAAAATCTATTTTCTTTAAAATAGTATATTTACGTGGGTTGCACGTATAATTTTAATGGGAGATAAAATAACAAAGAAATTCACAAAGAGAAAGAAGAATCATTGAAACTTTTTAAATATAAATATTAGGAGGGACATGAAGAACACACAAAAAAATGCTTTCTTGTGAAAAGAAAAATTATTTTGTTATAATTTTTAAAATTCGATTGATCATAAATGAAATTAATAAGCATAGAAATCATCATCATCATTTTAGTTTTTTTACAATTAATTGGAGTTGGCTTCATGAATCATGATTCTCCATTCTGCATATTAAAATGTTGTATCCTCAATGAGGCCATAAGTCCCCTTATCTTTTCGAACTATTTCCAAGTACGTCATCCCTTGTCCTTTTCAGTCATTCCATTTGAACCATTTGAACTAATTCACACCTCCTAACAGGTGCTGTACTTGGTCGGTGCCACACATGACCTGCCCATACCGAAGTCTACCCTCTCTCATTTTTTCGTCTATTGGTGCCACATCTAAATTCTCTTGAATATATTTATTTCGAATTGTATCCCTTCTTGTATTGCCACTCATCTATCTCAACATTCTCATCTTTGCTACACTCATTCTGTGGGTATATTGTGTTTTGTTTGCCCAATATTCCACCCTATAGCGCACATAAATACATAATTTAATTTTTTTTAAAGAATTTTAGTTTTTAGTGATGAGTTTTATATAAAAAACAATGTTATTTATTTAAATTTTTTATAATCTACAATGAAAAGCTTAAAACATATATAGGCAAATAATAATATAGGAAGTAAATAACAAATCAATATAATAATAATTCTACAATCATACACATAATTATCGATTTTTTATTAATTTTGAAGGTTATTATCAAAGGCTATTAATACTACTAAAAACATTGCGATTGAAAAATAACAAAGAAAATAGATGACCAATAACATAAAAAACACATGATAGAGTTGAAGCATACATTATTATTCGTCTTCTTGCTCAATTTCCCATATGTTCAAATATCTATACTAAATTGAATATCACTTATTAGATAAAAAACCATAAAATAAAAAATGTTATTAAGAAACTTTCTTTTAAAATGAACCTGAACTTTGTCAAATTTCATGAAATGGAGACAATACGTGCACACATGCATAATGCATTAGTATAAATTTTAAAAAATTTATTTATAAAATAATAAAAATAGTTACAAATTATTATGAATGATGAAAAATGATAAAAAAAAAAGTACTAAAAAAATTGATAAGATAAGAAGTTCTTTCTTCTCAAATCAATCTTCCTCACCCTCCATCACTTTCCCTCCCTCTTTCTCACACACACTCTCTCTCAATATACCTCTCCGCCATGTTCTCTCCCTCCTTTCTATCTCTCTCTCCCTCCTCGTATCACTGTTCTCTCTCCCTCTCCCCTATTGTTCCCATCGCTTCCACACCCACCCTCCCCCGCAACAAAAGAAAAATGCCCTCATTGTCTCCCCCTCTCTCTCTCTCTCTACTCTCTCTCTCTCATTCTCTCTCTCACTCTCCCTCTCTTTTTCCCCCTCCCTACTTCTTTTGGATTTGTCAATTAACTGAATTGATTAGATTAGTTAAAAAAAACTTAGTTAAGAAAATGTAGTAGTTTGTAAAAAAAGTCCTTGGACCAAGATAAACAAATCCATCTAAATCTCTTTATAAGATATAGAACCCTAAGCTCTTGCGCAAAAAAAAAACCTTGTTCCTCTCATAATTTTAGGAGAGTTGAAATTAAAGAAACTCTATATATTTTATTCTTTTAGTATCTCTCTAAATCCTTAAAAAATGGAAATGAAATAAAATTCAATAAAAATTGGACACCTGATATCGTATTTTTAAACAATTCCAAATAATTGTCTATAATATACATACATATTATCAAATCTTTAGAAAATATATTTTCTAAAAAATAGGAAGTTTGTACTGTTATTTTCTTTTAAACTAGGCGGTTGTGAGTTAATATTATTTACAAATCTATAATTTTGTGTTCGTACGTGGATAATTTGAAAACAATAGGTGGTTGTTCCTCCTAAAAGTACCTAATATGCATGTCTTACAGAGAAGGATAGAGAGGGCGAAATAAGGAGAGTCCCTCGTTTGGGTAAGGGGGCACGTAAAAGGGAAGGAAAAGATATTTCTTCCAAATCATAACACACCTTGGCAAACTAAAAAAAGGAGGGTTAGAAAAAGATAGAACTAAAAAGAGAGAGGTTAGAGATTTTAGGAAAGAGATAGAGTGGGATAGAGATTGAAAGAAAGTGAGTTATTTAATGATTTTACTATATGGGAAAGCTTTCCATGCGTCCCCAGGTTTTTAACCATTGATTTAAAATACAGGGTTGAGATTAATTAACTCAAGTTGTCACAAGGAGGCACAGGCTCAACCAATAACCTTATCTAAATAGCCCGTACAAGAGAGATGAATGAGTAACTATTTCCCATTTTAGTAGAGAGAGAGAG